AAAAAAAAAAAAAAAAAAAAAAAAAAACCATTTGATCGTGCACTGGATAATTGGATTTTTTGCTGGATTTTTTCCCCCTTTTTACATCTCGACATTATGTCTGTTTTTTTACTGCTAACGCCTGACGACCTCTGGTCGGCCAGGGTCGCAAGAATGGAGGCTGTTTTAAACTCGCAAAAACGGAGTCTCTCTCTCTCTCTCTCTCTCTCTCTCTCTCTCTCTCTCTCTCTCTCTCTCTTTTAATTTTAAGAATTCCAGATTCAGACGTGCTCGGGGTGCTGATACTAAGTGTAACTTCATAGGGTTCTGGAGTGGGGAATCCTCCATAAATGCTGTCCTTCTCCAGACTGGCTGTCATCCTGCTCAGACCTGGAACAACAGAGAGGGAGTCTCTCTCCTCTCTGCTCCCTCTGTGATATTTCATCCCAGGCGCAAGATCCACTAGCGCCTGAATCTGGAAGTGTTTTATGCAGAGATGCAGAAACCCGGATAAATAGCGATTTTCTTCACCTCTCCCCAAACACTTCCACATACAGGCGTTAAATCCAATCCTCTTTGCCAGTGGGATCCCGCCCCAGAAGTGCGGTGGTACACTAGAGCATTGGCTCCTCTGCTGCCAATGGCAGTACAGATCTGGAGTTGTTGGGATTCGGCCTGGTGGTTCTTAAAACACCAAAACTTTCTGAAAGAGAGATATTAGTTAATATTTGAGAAATCTCTAGTTCACCCTTTTGGTTAGCCGGAGGCTTCCTTTTGCTAAGACCACCATTATGATAATGATTACCTTTCCCCGCTTGAAAAACATAGTCGCAGCTTGTTACTGGCTCCATTTTCGGGGGGTTGTTACCTGACCAAAATGGCTGGCGTCACCAGCCAAAAACAGGCGCTCTTCGCTCAGGGCAAATTCAGGCTCAGCATCAATAGCTGGGTGGTGTACTGGTGGTTAGAGCGGATTCTGCTCTGCGCCCCAAAACGAAACAAACCGGCCCAGGCACTTTTTTGGCTGGCGCGGCCAGCCGTTTTTGCACTCGTAGGCCGAGCTCCAAAAGACTGGGAAAGTAATGGATTTAAACCACAAGTACACGGCCCCTGTGATGCGCAACCTCACGCCCTGTGCTGTCTTCCATGCGGAGTGTTAGGCATGCGGAAAGAGGCCCAGAAAAACAGCAAGATGGGGTGTGCCAAGGATTTTTGGAAATTGAGTGTGGGGACACAGACGGAACTGAAATCCCCCGTGTGGGTCCGATGAAGCAACTCGATCGTTTTTCGCGCGTCGCGGGACGTGCGCGGACAAGGCGGGAGGAGGGAAGAATCCAAATTCAATCCAAAAAATATTGCCGTGCTTCCCACCGGGCTACGGCCCGTCGTTTAGAACGGAAAGGCTTTGGCACGCTTCGCGTGTCCCGTTTCCGTATCAAGTCTCGTCGTCGTTCGCTGGTTAGTTCCGAGTCCGACGTGGACGGTCTCAGCCGTGTGGCTCTCTCCTTGTGCTCCTCTTCACTCCGTATCCGGTAGTGAAAGCCTTTCGATTCGTAACGATCGAAACGCTGGCACTCAGTGCACAAGGTTCGAGGCCAATGAGGCGCCACTGCCGTCCAAGGAATGACGATCAATTCGTTAAATGGGAGCAGTATCGAGTAGGGTGGGAAGTGGGTATCAATAATGACAAAGCCCGCATCTACGAATCCAGAACAACGATTTTCGGGAGGGAAGAAGTATTGTCCGCCGATTCGTACGACAGCTTCTCGTACGTCCCACTCACATACACGTGTCCTTTCCTCGTTATAGGAAAAAGGCAGGGTCGGAATGAGGGATACATGAGGCTGGCGCCTGATCGGAGGGTACTAGTCAGTCCATATATCAATCAATTGCAAAGACCTTGAGAGGTCATCAAGGGAAGAAAACGCTCGCGCAACTTACAATCAATCCCTTTCGATATGAGAGAGAGAGTGAAAAGAAAGTGCCTCCTCAGCTTGAAGCATGCATATAACCAAAAGATCTATTCGTGGCTCGAGTTTAGTGAGCCAACGCGGCGTGTGGTTCGGCTGCTGATGTCGTGCAGCATAAGGCAGATGGCATGCGCAGCTCTTTCAAAGCTGCAGATCTAAACACTCTTGCATTCTCGAACAAAATCCCAACGACGATCGTCTAATCAACACGAAAAAGAGTCGCACATTTCCATACATGCATTCACTGTGGAAGGTGCGAAAATGAGACATGCACCGGAAAAGATGGGTCGTATTGCACAGTACACACGCATCCACCGTTCGCAAGACAAGAAGGCGGGGTCCTTGCGTAGGAGGATTACCCAGAAAACTAATGGAAGAGTTCTGGAATAAGTTCTTTTACGCAAGGGAAGCGCACCGTTTCGCTCCTACTCAGGAGAGAAAGCGAGAGACATTCAATCGAGACACATCAGTATTCAAAAGTAGAGAAAAAAGGAGGTGGGGGGGGGTAGAAGAGAGTCGAGATAGGTAATGACCAAATCTGGAAGAGAGACATTCGACATGACCGCCATGCACTCACGCCAAAGATAAAGATCCGCAACAACAAAGGCGCATTCGCCGTTAATTCCAATATGGCCCCGGGCCAATTACTCACTCAACTCCAATCATCGATCCTCATACCCGCATTGACAATCCCGGCCGCCGCGTGCTAACTCCCACCATTGCGATCGTCACCCCGCTGTCGTAAACTCGACGCGGTTCGCCCAAATCCCACAGTCCGTCGTGGCGATCCAACGCGCAACCGGCCAGCCTATTGTCAGCTCGACAGGACTTTCCGACTCGCATCAACACACTCTGCCTAGCCATTGCTTCCCTGAAGCTGGCTTAGGAGTCGAGAACGTAAGAGAGATTTGCGAGCGCGGTTGCGGGTTTTATAGTTGCGAGAAAGGAGATAGAAGGGGGAGAGAACGACGGGAAGGCGGGGGTGTAGGAGGAGGAGGAGAAGACTTTGAGAAGAGCGCTTCGAGAACGCCATGTTGATCTCTTGGACTCAAGGTTTAACCAATCAGTTCGTCGCGTGATAGGAAGGTCCTATCGATCCATGCACCTGATTGGCAAGCGGGAGTTATCGGGGGATCGACCGGGCGTCGTACGCCAGACTCAGAGGGTGAGAAGAGAAAAAACGCGAGAGGTGGCGCAAGATGGGTCCAAGATTCAGACGATCAAGAAAGGGAAGTGGGCGCGCAAACAGCAAGATGGGGGAGGGGGAGGAGAGAAAGAAACAGTTACGGGGAGAGAGAAAGAGGAGGGAGAAGGAAAGGGAGCGTGGGAGGGAGCGTTACAAGGGGCCGAAGGGGAGGAAGCTTCTGCATGCACGGCGCCGTCAACAAAAAAAAAGAAAAAGACACCGAAACAGTTACAGCTTGCTTCTATCCTAATTCAAAATTGAAATCACCATATCCGCGCGCGAAAGAGCGACGCGGGAAGAGAAAATCCTACGCCTATTCCTATCCGGACGAAATTCCGAAAGTTTTCTCCGACGCGACCAAGAACATTCACACACTCGAAAAGGACACGTCGAAGTTTCGCTTATCCCGGAATTCCCAACCGCTGAGCCCAATTCCCAGTGCACTCGCTAAGGCGCACGTAAATTCCCATGTATTTTCCGACTTTGCAGAGAGAAAAACAGAACCAGAAGTCGAAAAAACTCTAAAAAAAAGGGAAAATGCGGCACCCGAAAGCAAGAAATCAAAACGGGGTTTTCCTGGGGTTGGTATGATACAAGCAAAAGTAAGGGTACGAAAGATGGCATGGGTTCGGGAAGTGGTTCGTCACATATGTGACGTGCAGGGGGTTCCAAAATTATGCGATCTCCTGATTGCATGGCATGGCGAAAGAAAGAGGGGAGAACAAAGTGATGCATGAGGAACCAAGCATATCAACAGAGCAAAAGAAGTACAAGGAACGATAACTAGGTCACGGATGAGATGACGACAACATCCGTGGCAAGATCTTCGCAACCCTGTCATATGCAACCCTCTGCCTCGTGGAGATCGTCAAGGTGACGCCATTATGGTCCACCTGATCTCCGTGTGCTCTGCACCCCTTTTTGTTGCAGTCCGTCGAATCAGCTCGCAGGTTGACGTCATCGTCGATGGCGTGATCTTCGGGAAGCTTACTGATCCGTGCCGATGAAGGGAGGAGAGGAAGGGGAGGGCGGGTCAAGTGAATGGGATCTACCGCCTAGTTGGAATAGGCCAGTAGAGGCGGTACATGGAGGGGATCTCGCGGGGATGACGGGGAGGAAGGGGGGGGTAGGAAGCGATTCATCCCTTCCATCGTCACCAGGAGCTCCTCATATCGGATGATCCGGTGAAAGCGGGGGAAATGATCGCCGCTGCGGGAAAAGGAAGCGAGGTAGTCACGATAGAAGGAAGAGAGGGTGCGAAAGAGCGCCGCTCGAAAGATCTCGAAGTGGCGGCAAGCGGGGATTGTCCCCGTGGCGATGCAGTAAACTTCTACCACGTTGCATCGCTCTTATGCAGCGCTGAACAGCAGAAGATGCCAGCAGAACGTGGGGGCAGCGGATTGAAGGGAGGCATGGGGGTGGACGGTGGCGAGTAGACGGGTAGAATAGAAGTCACGGAAGAGATGGGGATGGAAAGGATGGGAAAGGAAGGTGACGGGGGTACGGATCTGCTCAAGGGTGAGGAGGTCAAGGGGTCGGCGGGACAGCGTCCGAGGACGAAGGCCTATCGCTCGCATCGGTACGTGGGCGAACTGGGGGACGGGTGGGGCTGGAGGAGGAGGGGGATCGGCTCCGTCTCCGTCGCGCGGTACTTGAGGTGGCGGCTGCAGGGTCGCCATCTTCGGGCTTCGGCGGCTCTGGATCCCTGGTCGGATCGCTACCGACGTGCAGGCTAGCTTCGCTGGCGAACTCCAGTTGGCGCTTCCCGGTGGTAATTTCTTCGCGCTTTCGCGCCGCTTCCGGATCTTCCGCCTCCGTTCCCGTACGTGTCGCTTCCTCCGGCAAGGCTTCCCACTCGGATCCGGTTTCTTCTTCCTCCTCTTCTGCTTCGCTCAATTCGCCCTCGCTATGTTCACTATAGCTTCCCTCCTCCAATGTTTCCTCGTCGTCGTCTTTTTCTTCGTCGTCGTCGTCGATCACCACTTCCTCTGCCCTTGGATAAAAGGCGTGAGGGGTGATCTCGTACAACTTCAGATACTCTTGCCGCGATGGTAGGGTATCCTTGTCCTTAGGTTCCTCCAAGCACGCGGTCCACTGAAGGTACGGATCCAATGATCGCTCGAGAATGTACGGAGCAAGACTGTTGTCACTCTGAAAATAGATGTCGGGCGAGAGATCATCTGCCAATTGCACGATCGGTGCGATAAGCTCCTGCGCAATCAGGTGGCATCGACCTGGCCGGACCGATCCGAAGAGAAAGCCAAGAAGATCTCCTTCCATGTTAGTCCTCCAAGCCTGTATGATCAGCAACTCCGGATTCTCGATCCACGTGGGATGCTCGCTAGTGCCCGTCCACGTCACCTGTACTCTGGCCAAGCAAAAGGACAACTCCTCAAAAGTTTCGCGCCACAATCGCCAATGTCCAGGATTGATAAGAGGGACTGAAAGAGACTCGAATGAGAAGGAAAGAGAAGGGTGAAGATCGGATTGCTTGAAGGTGGGGAAGAGAGAGGGGAGACCAAAGATAGAGAGAGAAGCGAGAAGAGCAACATGGCTCATTGGGGATGGGGGAAGGGGACGATGGTCGGGATCGCAACTGGCCGCTCGCGCGGTGATCGGCGAATACCGTCAAGATCCGATGCAAAGATTGGGATGATGTTATACCCCTGTCGGGCGAGGACGTGCTGCCACACGTTGGACACTTGCTCTGTCCACTCGCGCAGCGAGGCCAAGATCGCGGTATGCCCCAGTGGATTGACCGAGCTGATGTCGCCGGTGAATGCCGCCACCGTGGTGACGTGGCTCGTTCTGGGACCCGCTAGCTGATGAACTGCGGTAACCTCCGCGAATACTATTGCGCGAGGACTTCCTTCAATTCGAAACGCGGCGGCGGCACAGATACCTTCGTCGCAGAAGAATCGCATCAAACGCCGAAGATCCACATTGAGCCGAGGGTGACAAACTTGTCGAATCTCTGAGATGTGGCCACATGGCTACAACAGCTGAATGTCAAGAACGCGCTCCGTGATAAAACTCATGGCGAGGTCGGAGAGGAGGACGAAGGATAGAAGGGAGAAAGACGGGAGAAAGTTAGGTCGTCGTCGTTCTCCTCGCTTTCTGAGGAAGAAGAGGGAGGGAGATCGGAAGGAGGAAGGAGACAGAGGTAGGAGGTATGCCGGACGATGGGGACAGAGCTATGGCTGGCACTAGCCTCAGGCGCGATGCGCACCGTGTTGGCGCCGTTGGGTCCGAGTTCGACAACGCGAAAACAGCCGAAAAACTTGGGAGCGAGTTTCTGGTCGCATGCACATTTACGTACCTGCACTAGGTCCCCTAATTTATATTGGTATTGGGGCCCAGCGTTTCCATTCTGGGCCTCGTAGCTACGGACCTGTCTCCCGTGGGCCAGTTCGGTCATCCTTTGTCTTTTTCGGGCTAGCTTCGGGACGGCCCGTTCCATTAATTTGGTGTACCTTTTGGCCTTGGCCTTGAGAGCTGCACGCGTGTCTCTACCCCCTGCTTCGGCAATTTTCGAGTTACCCCGGTAATCGACACAGGGGAGGCTATTAGTTGGAAGTTGAAAGGGGGTAAACCCTGTAGACTCATGAGGGGTGGCCCGATGGATCTCGACGACTGATATACGATCTCGGGCCAAGGACGCGTGTCGTGTGCCGCTAAGTTCCTACGAAGGGCGGTTTTAATCATACGCTTGGCATTCTCGGCCAACCCATTCGACTAGGACATGTGGGGTGCCGTATGTCGGAGCGTGACGCCCCTTCGCGCAAGCAGTTCCTCTACCTCACCTTTGAATTCCGACCCATTGTCAGTTAGAATTTCTTCCGTATCTAGATGGGTATAGAGGAATCGTTCGATGTATGTGGCTATTTCGGCGGCCTTTTGGGTCTTACAAGGATAAACTTCGATGTATTTGGAAAAATGGTCAATTAAAACTAACAGGATGGAATATTCACAGCGGTTTGGGCCAGGTGGCACGTCAATATCTGTCGTGTCCATACTGACTCGCTGGAAAGGACGCTCTACTTCCGTGGGTACGATCGTGTTTGGTCCCCGTATAGGGGCGCGATCAGCGGCACAAACCAGACAATTAGCAACAATGTACTTGATGTCATCTCGTATATTGGACCAGAACCATCGGTTCTGGTATACAGTTGCTTCGGTGACACGTATCGAGAAATGAGCGGCCTGTTCTTCGTGAGCAGATCGGATCCAATCGTATCTCTGGAATGGATGAGGAACTGTCAACCACGAACCCCACCCATCAGTTTTACGCTTTTCCAAATGACCGTTGATCCATCGATAGTCCCGAGATCTCCCGGTTGCCCTACGTCTGTCGTGTTTGGTGAGGTGGCCCAACGATAATCCCACTAATTTTGCCAATAAAATTTTATCCGTCCAAACCTCCGCTCGTCGGTATTTTTCGTCGTATTCAGGGCCGTCCGTATGGGCGGCCTCGAATCGAACCTCCGTGGGGAACTTGTTCGTTCTATACAAGGGGCACCTCCATTCCTTGCTACTNTATTCAGGGCCGTCCGTATGGGCGGCCTCGAATCGAACCTCCGTGGGGAACTTGTTCGTTCTATACAAGGGGCACCTCCATTCCTTGCTACTCGTCCGATATCGAACGCAGGCCCCGTGCGCACGGTTGACACACGTGACACATTCTACCCAATCAACAAATTCGGTCTCGAAGGGATGACAGTCGACCCCATAAACTCGTGCAATACACGTGCAAAAATACCAGAATTTATCGGAAAGGGTGGCGAAGAAAGCCGATGAAGTAAGAGGGGCAGAGTTAGTAGGAGAAGAAAGGATTGCGGAGGCGAGTGGGGTAGTCATGATGGCAGAGGAGGAGGGGATGCAGGGAGAGCAGAACATAACAATTAGTCCTCGTGTCACTTACTGCTTCGATAAGATCTCCAGTTGGCTGTAGCGAGGTCGATCTCGTGTTAGGGTTCGTTCCACGGAATTACCTCCTCACACTTTGGAACCTTCTCAGGCCGGTGTAGTCATGTCAGTCCATCCACATTCGCGTGTCTCTAGTGCTTTCGATGACGAATGTCAAAGTCCATGCTCTGCAGCACCGTTGCCCATCGCCCGATCATGCCCGAGTAATCCTTCGACTTCTTCAGAGCCAACAGGGGCTCATGATCAGTCACCAGGGTGAATTTTCGCCCGTACAGGTAAGCACGGAAGTGACTGATTCCCCAGAGAGCCGCATAGCATTCACCCGTTGGAGCGGCGTAATTGCGCTTGCAGGCGGGCACTGATTTGGACGCATACTCCACTACACTCTCGAGTCCGCTCGATCCCACCTGGGCAAGGATCGCCGAAATCGCCTCTGGCTGCCAGTCGGTGATGAGAACAAAAGGGATCTGGTCTTATAAGGACCGGAACCGAAATGAGAGCGGCCTTGAGTTTGAAAAATGCTTGATCGCATTCTGGTGTCCAGATCAACGACTGATCTTTGCGCAGCAGATTCGTGAGGGGTCCCGCAATCGCCGCAAAGTCCTTGATAAATCTTCGGTAGTACGAGGCCAGGCCCAGAAAGGCGCGAACTTGCGTGATAGTTGTAGGCACCAGAGAATCCCTGATAACTGCCACCTTCTGTGGCTCCGGCTGGAGTCTCTTGTCTGTCACCACGTGCCCTAGGAAGGAAATGGTGGTGAGGAAAAACTGACACTTCTCAAGCGTCACCTTGAAACTTGCATCTCGTAACGCATGCAGTGCCCATTGGATGTGCTGCACGTGTCCCTCGTAGGAGCTCGAATACACCAAGATGTCATCCATGTACACAATCACGCAGTAGTTGATGATGCTCTGCGCCAGGCGAATCTTCCGCACGAAATTCCGGAAAGCCATGTTCATGGCACGCTGAAAAGTCGCAGGGGCGTTGCAGATACCCATCGGGCATCGAATCCATTGCCACGTACCTGTGAAAAGCACAAACGCGGTTGTCGGACGATCTTCTTCTCGGACAAGAAGATGATGGAATCCATGGCGAACATCAAACTTGCTGAAAAATCGAGCACTCTCAATCGCATCCAATAATTCATCAATCCGGGGGAGGGGGTACACATCTTTAATCGTGATATCATTCAATTTTCGATAATTAATACAAATACGAATCCCTCCGGCCTTTTTAGGTACGATCACTACGGGAAAAGACCATGGACCTATAGCAGGTTCAATCCATCCATTAGCTTCGAACTCCTTAATCCGTTGAAAAGCGGCAGCTCTTTAAGCTGGCGAGTATCGGTAGGGAGTGCAGCTAATGGGTGGATGATCTTCCATGAGAATGGCATGCTCAATCACATTAGTTAAGCCGATGTCGTTATCATGTATGCTCAATACTTCTTCGTAGGCATTTAACACACGAATTAACGATTTTCGAAGTTCCGTGGGGACGTGGCCTGGCAAGGTGATTGTAGATTCCCCGGAAATCTTAAGGGGCATATCAATCCAATTAACTGGCCGTTCCCGTCGATCATGGACACTAGAAAAAACGGAACTACTGGTGCGAACAGAGAAGACAGTTGCTATCATTTGGGACTCAGCAGGGCTGATCATCTCTGTTTTTTTAGTTTCAGCGTCAGTTTCTGAACCAACCGAGGTCGGTTCCACAATTAGCCCTGTTAGATCCGTCATTTCTTGCATCAGATTAGGTACATCATTTACCGGTGCTTCCGCCTCTTGTTTAATCGAGGCGATGGTGGCTCCTGTCGTTAGTAACGATCGGGGTGGAAAAACAGAAACGTCTAAATACTGTTCTGTTTGCTGATAACGTGTTCGTAAGGAGAGAGCTCCCTCGTACAAGGTACGAGTCTCGTACAAGGTACGATCGTACAAGGTACGAGGGGGTTCCAAATCATCAGCCAGATCGGAAACTTGCAATATAGGTTCCCCGAGGAGGATTGAAGGATTGACCCGGGTCGTCAGAGGTGTGCACGCGCTGTCTCCGACGTCCACGTGGAAGCTTCGGGTGGTGTCGGGGTACACTTGAAATTCCTCGGGAACTTCTCGTTCGAAAAGTTTGACCAGGTGCCTCCATTCTTCTTCGTTCCACCCCCGAGGCGTGAGGGAGAACATTCATCGGGATCAACGTATCGAATCATCCCTATTTGGGCCGGGTTAGGGATCCGCTTTATCGTTCGGGTACTCGCCCAACTTTTACGGTTTGTGTGAGTACCAGTTGTGCGAGTACCAGTTGTCTCGAATCGAAATGCAGACGTGCGCCTACTGCCATTGCCCAAGGTAATTCCAATAACACAAAATAGGAACGTACATCTATTACGAGCGCGTTAACAAGGACGTGTACTCGCCCAACTTTTACAACCACGTTCTCGATAATGCCTACGATGTTCATTGCCTCCTCGTTGGCAGAGACATAATTGTTTTTGCTAGATTGAGGAAGAATGGATTCCAGTCGTCCCGTATTTTTAACAGTATTCAATGATATGGCCACGGCAGAAGACCCTGTGTCAATAAGGGCATTAAACGGCTTGCCCCAAACTTCACAGTCACATTCCGCACTTTTCCACAATACCGGCCGATCTCGTACGAAGTGATCTTTTTCTGCTAAAGAGATCGCTGTTATTCGTGCGGCTTCGGGTTCTTTCGTGTCAGGCTCGGGAGGTGCAATCTCCTCGTTTCCTTCCTTCTTCTTCAACATCCGTTGTATGCGCTGATAGGTGAAGCGCTTTTGATTTTTCTTGCATTGTTGTAGAAGTTTATCGTTTGCTGCTTCAGATATGGTGAGCAGATGTCCTACTGGGATAGGTACACAAATATCTAATTGCTTGAGCGTTTTCAATACATCAATATCTCCTGTCCGAAACTGCGGTCCAGGATTGGACTTGCGTTCGACCCATTCGAGATCATCTTGGGCCGATCGGATCGCTCCGATCATTCCGACAAGATGGAGATACTCGAGGGGACCGACCACGTCAGCATCGTCAGAGGAAGAAGCTCTTGAGGTCGACGCTATTGTCGCAGAAGAGGAAGGCTATTCTGGAGCATACGCTACGAGCTCTTCTCCCTGATCCGTGTCCATCAGAGCGGCCACTCGTCCTTGATTAAGGGCGACAGGGGCCTCAGCAGGGGGAGGCTGATTACGTTTCGGTTGCGGACAGTCTTGGGCAAAATGCCCGGGCTGTTTGCATTTGAAACACTCGATCTTTCCTGCCGGATTAGCTAGATGGGGATACTGAGGGGCGAATCCTGGAGCAGGCAGAGCAGGTAAGAGCGGAAACGATGCAGGGGCAGGTCGGGCAGGAGCCGGGTTAGGCTTAATGAGCCGACTCATTATCTGTTCCATCCGTTCCATGTGAGCCGCCTGCATTTGGATCAAGTTACTCATCCATTCGGACTGCTTGGTAGTGGCCGTATGGATCATCTGGGCAAGATGCAAATTGGTTACTACCGGCGAGGGGGGTTCAGATGAAGTTTCGTTTCTAACAACTGCGATCGATTGATTCACTGGGGGAGAGGGAGGAGAAGCAGTCGGGATATCAGAAACGGTTCCGCCGGGAAGGTCATGATCAGGGCGGGGATAAAACCGTTCGACCGCCTGCAACCATGATCGTCTTTTAGTCGTTACATCCCGTATGGTATCCATAATGTCTTCGTCTCCTTGGCTGATGTACTTTTTTGTATCAGCCAGGTCTAGTTCCAAAGCTTCAGTTATGATAGCCGATAACGAGTGTATTTTTGGCGGAACCTTTTTCTGTAACTTCCGTTTCAGTATCGGACTTCGTAGGTGATCGATGAACAGGTCTCGAGCGGATTTCTCGTCTCGCCCGGATTTGTCCAATGTGGTTTAAAACCGATCAACGAAATCAGGTAACAGTTCCCCTGGTCCTTGGGGTCGATTTTTTAGTACGTACCAGGCGGCATCTTCACTAACTGTATCATATCGAGCCAAGAATGCTTGCTTGAAAGTATCCCAATCTACCCACGTATGTTTTCTAAACCAGTCATGTGAGGTGTTACGAAGTAGTAGTGTCAGAACGCGGGGGAGATCGGCCGCGCTGTAGTTCTGAGCTTCGACAGCTTCCATCCAAGCCTCGGGATGAGTATGGTTAGGGAAGAAGGGGAAGGGGGCAGGGATGCTAACGATCACGCTAGAACCGTCCACCATTGGTATTGCTGGTGCAGCCGTACTAGACTGAAACCTGGTTACGGGGCGATCTCGACGAGCTAGTTGAGGGTTTCTCTTACCTCTCGCCAGTTCGACTTACTATCATCAGAACCGACACGTGTCGGCTCCGATACCAACCTCACGCCCTGTGCTGTCTTCCGTTCGGAGTGTTAGGCATGCTGAAAGAGGCCCAGAAAAACAGCAAGATGGAGTGTGCCAAGGATTTTTGGAAATTGAGTGTGGGGACACAGACGAAACTGAAATCCCCCGTGTGGGTCCGATGAAGCAACTCGATCGTTTTTCGCGCGTCGCGGTGTCGTGCGCGGCGGTCCCACACCCTAGACGCAAAGTAGTTTTGTGTCGGACCTCACAGTCGTGTCACTCAGGAGTTTTCTTTTTTTGTCACTTTATGAAATACAAACTCCGACCGTGCGCGCGTGCTATACCTCTCGCGACTCCCTACAAGAGGTTAGGGATCCCACGAGGTACAACATACCTCCACCTGCGGGAGCTGTCACCATCCCTTAGGTGGGCGTATCCCTGCTGAGCTACTGACCCACGTGTGAAGGCTTTTATATGCAATCGCAGAGGTAGGCCAACCGAGGGCGTTTTCTCGATCGCCGTAGCATAGGCATACGCGCGGTAGAACGCCTTAAGACTGACCCGTATGTCGAGCCCAGAGATGTTAACTCTCCGGACCAACTATCTAATCAGGTCGACTTCTCGGACAGTCTTCCACGCTTAGCTAGCTTAAGACAATGACTCTATGTCCCTTTTGTTGACCTTATGAAAATGCCAGAGTCAAACCCTTAGTAATCTCTCATTCTTCTAAAAAAGAAGTTCAAGACAAAATGACTTTCTAGGTACCGACTAGCCTACGATCTCATTCACAAGTATATATATATGTATGTATGTAAATTAGAGGAGCTGACTGAGCGGTGGACCTCACTTTCACGATTGTCGTGCCCCTTTGCCCGAATATCCAGAAGATCCCAAACTCAGGAGACAGTACAAATGTTCAACACCTACGCAGATGCAGGAAAACACATACACACATACAAATGCAAACACAGAATGCGCTACGAGTGTCAACCTTTAACCCACTCACAACATACCACTCGCGCCCCAAACCCTTGAAAACAACATTCCTTCCTAACCCTGATTCCATTTTACCCCAGCCCCACATATTTTGAAGACTCCTGAGTGTGATTTGGACAATTTAGTTATAGATACAGGGGGGGAGATTTATATGTTCCCTTCTTACGTCTGGTCTTAGGTGTGGGTGTCAAGCCATGGGTGGAAGTTGAGTCGGAGTTCTACCGACCTGTTATCCAGAGATAACAAAATTGTTGTTCTTACGGATCTCCCCGTAAGTTCTCCGAAGTGTCGAAACCTGTAGACACAACAAAGTCCAAAAGAAACTTAACATCTCTCTTCCTAACTGAGATCTAGAAAGTCCCTTCTAGACTCTGTGTCTTTTGTCTGACTTCTATCCTTAACTAAATGTTTGGGCTGTTCCCTTTTCGCTTCATGTAGTGAATAACAGTTCACTTCCTTTTTACTGTCACGAAAATTCTCCATACTCCTTTTCGCTATCTCATTCTTATCCCTTTTGGGATTATCCTATCTGAGGTCCCTTTCCTTCTCCCAACACACATGATTACATCATCAATCCAACTTGTGGAAAAAATCTCATGGAAAGGAATCCGATGAATGGATAGTCTTTCTCTGAGGCAAGATCTCACTTATCCCCTTTCAGTAGAATCAAAAATAGTTAGTTAGGACTGAATAATGCAGATTGTGGGGAAAGTTAGCGGCGGTATGGTAGACCATTCAAGACATATCCATCCTGTTACAGGAGC